GACTGCTGCCTCAGCTTCACGTGATGTCCAGCTATGGTTACAGCGAGGAATGAAAACTCACATTTAAAGTTGCACACTCGCACAAATGTCATAAAAATTCCTTACAAATATTTCTAAATTAGAGCTACAATATCTGTGAACTCCCCACCCCCACAAAAGTAATCACAAAATTCTGGAGGGACAGCTATTTATTAACATTTTAAATGTTTGATTGGTTTCATCGACACATTCTGGCTTCATCGGCCCTTTAAGAACATTACGATTTTAGATCAGGGAGTTTGACACTCCTGATCTAAACCACACAGACTTCAATCAACACATATAGTCAAAGTTCAGAACTAAATTCAAATGAGAATCCTGACATTAAAATAAAAATAAAAATGTGTTTGAACTATTTTCGCAATTACAAATGGACACCTAGAGTCACCATTGAACCAAAAGGTTGTAAATACAACTTAAACCTGGAATCGTTCTTATAAGGAACAAACTACTTAAAATATTTTGTATGGAAAACCATGATTTCCCAAAAAATTAAAATAGAAAATAATAAATTAAGAAATAAAATAACTTTCAAATAATTAAATATATAAAATAATAGATATTAAAAAAATGCTTGATGAGATTATGAGGGTATGGCTTTGAGTCTGTAGGTACGTCAGCACTGGATTCCAGATAGAGAAGAATAGATCCCTCGACCCTCTTAGCGAACGCCTAATCTTTCTGAATAAACTGCATCAGATCTCCCAGACATAGTCCGGCTTTAGGCGGGTCAGTGTCATAATGATGTCCTGCAAGCAGTGATGTGTGCGTGACGTTTCCTTCAAAGTTTTAATGGACCGGAAGTTAAAGCTTTGGGAACGTGAAACAGCGCAGACATCACCGGAACTTTGCAGCACCATTAAGAATAACTCCAAGAAGCAATAATTCTGTGTTTTTTTCTTGGTTTTGTTTTGCTTTTCTTTTCTAAACTCTTTAGCTGGAACAGCTGCAGTGTGAGCTGACCCGGGTGCTGAGGGAGAGGGACGCCTACAAGGCTCGCTACGAGAAACTCCTCAGCACAAACCCGGGAGCCGGCGGCGAGGCGGCCCCTCAGGCACGCACCAGTAACCCGCCATCCCCGCCCCCTGACTACTTCCTCTGAGTTCATCAAGCATTTAAAAACAAGACCAGCCAAAAGGGAGCAATATTCTGATGAGTGATGACACTGGGGGATGCAGGAGGGGGTGGAAAACCAAAATCTGTGTGTGTGCATGGTTGTGTTTGTGTGTGAGAGACATTTTAAAGAGACGCGTTTTCAGGTAGCTTTTGGGCTTTCCAACTGTCACTCTGAGTGACAGAAAAAAAATCGAGCGATGCGGTCTGACTTTGTTGATAAGGAGCCTTGCAAAAGTTCTTGAGCTTTTTCTTTCTTTGTTTTACATTTTGACACATAAAAACAAACATTATGTATTTTATTGACATTTTTGCTACAGATCAACTCAAAGCAGTGAAAGGAGACGTTCTTTTTTCTTCTCTAAATCAAAAAAATTTTATTGTTCAGTCCATCTGAGTCACTGCTTTGTAGAAACTCATTTTGCTGCAACAACAGCTGCAAGTCTTTTTAGGGTATTTTCTCTGAAAATTTTCCAACTTGACTCCAGCGCAGTCAGACTAAATGACAAAATTTAAAATCTCAGCTCAGGTTTTTAAAAATGATAACAAAAATCATCTCATGTCTGGGCCATTCTGTCAACCCAGTGTGCTTGGAGTCAAACCATTCGGTTGTGGCTCTGGCTGCAGCCATGTTTTTAAGCCTTCGCAGGCTCCATCCAGTGCTCCTCTATTGTCGTGCATTTCCCATCAGCTCTAACCAAATGGTGAAGGAAAAAAGTATCTATGGCAGGTGATCATATTTCTTCCACTTCACAGTAGTTTTGCTACATCATGTTGGTCCAACACAAAAAAAGAATGTCTGAAATGCATTAATGGGGCAGTAGAAAGTAAAATTGACTTTTCTGAAAAAAGCCTGAGTTTTTAAAGAGACAAAGATCCAATATCAAGGCACTAAATTACAAAGTAAAATGTCCTGTTTGGCAGCATTTTATAGCAACTCAAGGTAACATACTTGATCGTGTTACATAATGACACTACGTCCCGGCAAAACACACAAAACTGCCCTTTAAAGTACATGGTGATGAAGTGACGAAATGTAAAAAAAAATTTTAAAAAGGGGATATTCATATTTTGGCAAAGCACTGAATATACACTTTTCTGTGACCGCACAAAAACCTCCTGAGAGCTCTCCTGAAATCAGTGCAACCGATCAAGAGCTTTATAGTCCCTCACACTGCTGAGCGTGGTATCTATGCAATAATAGAATATATCTGCTATGTACTTTCCATATGTCCAAATGAGTTATCAAGACTCACTGTAGCATTTTTCTTCTTCTTCTTTTGTTTTGTTTTTTTTATTTTTTATTATTTTTATTTTTTTTTTACAATAAGCTGCTAAAGCTGCAGAGGTCTGAGTAGTGCAGTGATGACACGTGGAGTGATATGGGATTGGATCACGTTTCCATGGCATGCAGTTGAATATTTGCCAGCTAATATTTCACAGTTGCCTACCAAAGTTTTTAAGCTCACCAACACTTATTCTTTGTATAAAAATAAAAAATAATGACAAAAAAAAAAAAGAATAATCATAGATTAAAGAATGTACAAGGATACCTTTCAGAGGAATCCATCAGCGATTGTGACATTGCTCTTGTGTTTTAGCAAAAGGAATCTCCTTTTCTTACTAGCTGAACATAATATAGTTAGTGGCCTTCAGCCAAGAACAAAGTACAGACTTGCTATTTGCTACAAACAATCAAGTTTTTTTGTTGTTGTTTTTTTCTGCTAATGCAGAGATGTAGGGTTCTGGAAACGTATTTCGAAGTAATCCATCGCTGAGTAAAGACATCTAGAAGGCTTGGTGTAAATAGGAAGATAAGGAGACCTGCAGAGGGAAAACCTCTGCAGGTCTCCTTATCCAAAGTAAAATGTGACCCCACAGAGCTGGTCACTGTGGACTCAGATGCTGTGGGACTAATTAACAGTTCAGGGATGAAAACAAAGACGGAAACACAAACTGTTCTTGAGATACCTTCTGAGCTGGAGTTAAAACGCCAGGTTTCATTCATTAGAGGCTATTTATTTTGTGTGAGTGTAGGTACAAAAGAAAAAAAGAAAAGAAATCAATTGTTCTTTTATTTATTCTCTTATTTATTGGGTATTTAATGTTTATTTATGTACTTCTAATTATTTTACTGGTTTCCATTCCATTAGTGTGTATTTTTACTTCCCTACAGTTTATCATTTTACTCTGTCGTGACTAGAATTAACATTATTTAAGAAGCGCGGGCCATCCCCGTGGTTTTCCGCTCCCATTGTAGTGTGGTTTCATACATGTATAAAATAAACAAAGTTGTTTAAAAAAACAACAACAACAACCTTGCATTGTCTCCATGTTTTATTGCACACCTTGCAGCGAGGTGTTAACCTCCTCTCCCCTCACGTTCCCATATCCGTGTATCTCCCACATTCTGTCCCCGGTAGGCCTTTTTTTTTTTTTTTTTTCTTTTTTGTTGGCAGCCACATGCCCATCCATCCCTCCCTTTATCTCTGAGCTTCTATAGTGAAGCGTTGACCCTGGGTGTGTGCTGTTTGGAATGACCTCATCTTCGGCTCTGCCTCCCCCTCTGTGTGTGTGTGTCTCTCGTTCTCTCTCTGGCCTGTATAATGGAGCAGGATTAGGGATATAATAGCAGTATGGCCGTTCACTGCCGGCGTCCATTGTTGCTTTGTGAGGGGGGTTGGTGGAGGGTGTGGGCTGTGGGGGGGCAGCATGACTACTAGTGGTCAGACATATTCCGACACAAAATGCATCCAAAACACACACATCTTGAACAATCTTTCTACCTGTGCTCATGCACAAGTGTGACGAATATATCTAAAGCTGTTCAAAAGCAGGAGACAGAGTATTGTAGTGGAGCCGGCCCAAGGCAGAAGTGCAGCAAGCGGCCACTGAAGGCCCCCTGCTGGCCTGGAGGTGCCAAGCGCAATCGAGGTTTCAGAGGACAGGATGAAAAATGTTCTGGTTGTAGAAACACGATTCAAACAAACAGAGTAGTCATGAACCGCTACATTTTTAAGATAAGCAAGTGGCCGTTCTTCAGTGGTGTGCCCAGACATTTTGGAGGAAAAATGACAAAGTATATTTTTAAAAAAAGGTACGTTGTGTGGCAATTTGAAACATGGGCTGTCTTAGAAGTGTGATATTTATTACAAGTCACACACTGCACTGTACATTTTTATTATGTTTTTTTTTTTTTTTTACTCAGAAGAGCACTGTTTGTCAACAGAAAAATGAGAAGATGCTGTAGCACCACCTAGCAGTGGTGTCCAAACTGCTGCCCAGGGGCAATTTGTGAACTTTGAACTGATTTTTTTCTATGCTCCCCAACTGCAGTACAAGAAAAATTTGTTAATGAAACTTTTTTACTTCTAATCAGTAAAATTATTACCGTTGCTGATGGCCCAGGTCAGATTCACTTCAGCCTTGGCAAAAAACCCAAAAAAACTATTCATACAAAATAAAATTGTTATTCTTCTACTTTTAAAAGAAAGACCCCATGAACATTCCTTTAAGGAATTAATTCATTAATGAACGTAGATGACAACACCCTCTGACATGGTCAATATTAAAGATGAAATGGACCAAAACTGGTAGTTGTGGCCATCATGTCAGATCCTCCCTCCGGACGTGTAGAATTCCAGACAGACTGTCATAACTCTGTCTTCCTATAAAAAACAACCCAATAAATTGCTTAATTTGACATATCTCCCAAGGATGTGGTCACTCTGTAACCAATTAGTACAGCAGACGCTTGTCTTGTACTGCTCTCTAGAGGCTGTGCTCTGCATCGCCCCCATCTCCGGCACCAGAGGTTAATGAGAGCTTCGTGACTCTGATCCATCCTTCCACAGTCCTGCTTCTCCTCAAGCAACACCCCAGCTCTGTTTTTCTCTCCTTCTAATTAATTAACTGTATGCATCTGCAGGGGACACCTGCTGAAAAGCTCTTTTCTTTCTGTCTTTTTTTTTTTTGTTGTTGTTGTTGGCCAGATTCTTCTTTCCTCCTCAGCAGGAAATCTGGATCCATTTAGTAGGTGTGAGTCACACGGCAGTCGGTCTGAGGTGATGAATTACCGTGCTGCCTGCGGAGCTGGACCCGGGCCCTATAATCTGAGAGAACAGTGAGGGAAGAGAAAGGAAAGGTAGGGAGAGAGAAAGAGAGAGAGGGAAAGAGGGAGGGAGGAAGTACACAAGGGAGGAGAGAGAGAAACAGAGAGAGAGAGAGAGAGAGAGAGAAAGAGAATCCGTGCCTACTTTGTAGTTGCCTACAGACACCTGAGAGGTGAGAAACCAGACCGGGCCGGTGGAGCTGGGGCTCATTAAATGACTGGGCTGGGGGTTCAGAGGGTCGTTCCTGGCGTTGCTCTCTCTGTCTTCCGGACTGCTCACTCCCGATCGCTTTATTTCAGCCTGCAGATGCCGACAGATGTGCCCGAAGACAGGCTCAGCGTCGAGGAGAATGCGGCCAAGGTAAGGAGGGCATGAAGGCGCTTAGGGAACCCCTTAATCCCCCTGGAATGATTAAAGCACATCATTATCTATTAGCTGTTGTTGTGACTGTTCAGAGTCAGTATGGAGGAGCGTTTTCTGTATAGGTGTGTGTTAAATGTGGGTGGAGAGTGGGTGTCCCTAAGTTTTTACATATATTTTTTTTCAATATTATATACTAAAATTAAAGTCCTTTCTCGTGTTATATTACTTATACATAATAATATGTATATTTCAATTTAAACAGTTTTCCGCTGAAAACCTCTGAAGGAGTTGGCGCCAATTTGCAGAGCGCCTGCAACTGGCAAGCTGGTCCTGCATTAGTGTTCATGTATTTCCACACAATTTCATAAGTTATGAAAAAAGAAATGCAGTAATAAAGTCATTTTTGCCTCTCTAATGTACAATGGCGTCTTGTTATTTTGACAAGTATGTAAGAGCAAAGTCGTCAAAGATTTTTCACCAAATGGCAGAGGGGTTAGCAACTAGCTGGCTAGTAGTAAATGAGTATGATATATATTTCTTTACACAATTTTGCAATTTTAGAAAAACAAATTGCAAAATGTATTTTGTTCAAAACCTTTACCTGTGCAGTACATATTTGTTATGTCTTTGAAACTAATCAGACACGGGAACAATGGCGGAGATAAATATCGGTTGTTAATATCGGATCACTTTAATCAAATCAATACCGATACAGATTGAAAAATTACTAGTATTAGCCGATACTGATGTCGATGCAGATATATCGGTCATCCCTACTTACAATAGTTATTGGTTTGTTGAAAAACAAATCTTCTTGAAGAATGAGATGCCGTCCCACAACAGTGTGTGACCAAGCTGGTGACCAGCATTTAGGGGGAGGTACCAGGCTGTGTGGTCCATTCACACACTTCAGAAGCTGCTGTTTCTTGAACTAATCAATTGTTAACTTGGCTTCAAGCTTCAATCATCCCATCCTGTAAATGCCGTCAAAACGCAAAATAACGTTTTTGCCATTGGCAGAGAGGATTCGACACGTCTTCACTGTGTACAACTCTGCTGCTCAAACCACGATTTCCTAACAAACATGGGATTGTGCAAATGGAAATGAGAAAGATTTTTAATTGTTTAAGATTTATTGCCAATTGGCATCGTCTGCCATGCACAGTTTTCTTAGCTTCCTTCCTGGGTGTATTTTTACTGCTGCTGTGTTGGAGCTGGTACCATCAGGAGGACTCTTGCTCCGGTGATGCAGGAGAGAAGAGACAAAATTCACACGCTTTCATTGTGTGAAAATTGTACTCATGTCTTGAAAGTTGTTGGATTTTTATTTTGTTTTGTTTGGTTTTTGTCACTTGGTTCTTTCGGTTTCAACATGATGCAGTATGAGCGGAAGAAAGTTTGGGAACTTATTGAACGTGTGTTACTGTGTGTTTTGTTGGTTCAGTGTGACAGCATGACTCTGCCCAGCACCCCCACGGTCCGCAGAGGAAGCACCCCTCTGCCGATAAAGCACCAGCTCAGACGAGAAGAAGCTGTCCACGATGACGTGGACTGGGCCTCGGGAGCCGCCGGGCCTTCCCCCTCGCCGCTCGGCTTCAGCCCGGCCCTGGACGACCCTCCCATCGTCTCCGTGGAGGGCAGGAAGGACGGGCCGCTGCGCGTCGCCCTGCTGGGTCAGAACGGAGTCGGGAAGTCCTCCCTGGCTCTCGCCTTCGCCGGCGACATGGACCGGGCCGCGTCGGTGGATTCTGATGGTACGCGAGATTAACGGAGGCAGTAAGTAGAACAGCAGGGTGTGTCGTCTGAGAGCTGACCGATGCCGTCCTCCGTCCTTAGGGGAGGGCTACGTGCGCACAGTCAGTGTGGACGACGAGGAGAGCACCATCGTTATCTATGACAACTGGAGACAGGTGAGCCAAACAACACTTCAGGGTCCGCTCTGCTCCCAGCTCCCTCATTAGGCCAGACGAGACCCCTCTGCATCTGAAACCCTTCTGAGCTCACCTACTTTTCAAACATTTCACAGAACTGTATGTTTTCTTCTTCTTTTTTTTAAACCTAATTCCTGGAATGGTAAAGGGAGAAGTTTTCATTTCCCTTCCTATATTTGAGGTTTGTAATGTACACTGCAAAAACACAAAATCTTACCAAATAACTAGCATCTAGTTTCTGCGCCAAATGATTTATTTCTCATTTTGAAATAAGATGATCAAGTAACGTTTGAGCAAGACAGAAGAGCTTGTTTTAAATCAATAGTTCCTGAAAACTACTAGTTCCAGAGGTGGATTATTTCACTTGGAACAAGACATATTCCCCAAATGATAAGTGAAATAATCTGCCAGTGAACCGAACACTTTCCAATCATTATTAAGGAATTATTGACTTATCTTGCTGAAAGGTTGCTTGCAAGTTAGTTTTATTTTATTTCAAGTGCACAGAGACGTTTGCACTAGGAACAAGACCAAAATGACCTCTGTGAAGATTTTGTGTTTCTGCAGTGTAGTGAAGGATGAACATAGACTCCAAATAAAAGACAAGTAAAATTTTTATCTGAGCTCACCCCGGGATGCCTGCTGCTTTAGATGGACTGCCAGTACAAATATTTAGAGCATCTAAAAGAATGAGAAAAGGTGCTCTGGAGTATTACTGTCGCATGTATATGCAAGTGAAGTGAAATCTGCTCCCATTGTGTACCTGGAAATCATTGGGGGCTATTTTTGTTATTGTTTTTTTTTTTTGTTTTGTTTTGTTTTGTTCTCGTCAGCACCGTGGCAAAAAATAATTGCCCATGCTGGAGAGGAGTCGTGACAAAAAAAATACAAAAAATAAAAGGAGAGGACAGTAAATCTGCAGCATGTGCATCTGTTCCAGCGAGGCGCGCTCGCTCTCGGTTCGTTTGCATATCTCTTCCTATTTTTTTTCTCCTTCGAGTGCGTTTCAGAGGCGTCTGTGTGAATGTTGGCTTGAGCCGCCCACAGCCTGGGAGTACCAGCTGACTGCGTTTGCGTTTCTGATTTAGACGGATGTGTGAAAAATACCCAAGACTCACCATTTTGTTGCTGCACTCCCATCTTTTTTGGGGGGTGGGAGGGTTGGCAGTTTTTGAAATCTGGAGTGGAGACGTGCTTGTCATCATCAGTCTCTGCTTAGCAGTGGCGGTTCAAGCCTGTATGGGGCCCCGAACAGGATTTAACATGGGGCCCCTCATGACTGCCATAAATCAACTAATATCTGCTTTATGTTATTTCATAGTCAATCAGTTTTGTATTATAGGTTAAACATAACAATTGATATGATAGTGTTCAGTCTGCAGTGCATGGCTGCTCACTAAGGTTTGAAATAAAACGTCCTGTGTCTCTGTGACAACATCTCCTGGGGATTCCTCGCGACAGCTGTGTGTTTTTATTCCACATCTTGTTGAAGTGCAAAGTGTTTCGGCGAGTAAAAGACTGAGTCTCCACCTATTTATTTATTTATTTATTTACCTTCCCACAGGACCTGTCGGCTCTCCAGTGTGAAGTGTGCGTCCTGGTGTTCTCCGTGACCGACAGGCGCAGTTTCCACCGCACGGCGCAGCTCCGTCTCCTCCTGAGAGAGACGCAGCCTCAGACTCCCATAATCCTCGTCGGGAACAAGAGCGACCTGGTCCGCTCGCGCGAGGTCACGGCTCAAGGTGCGCTTCCCGCTCCCGCGGTTCCCGCGCGCGCCTCGCGCTCTCACCCCGTCCAGGTGGCGGGATTCCCTGCTATTGGAATGGCGGTGAACAGCAGCGTGAACGTAAAGTGCGTGTCTCGCGGCGGTGTGGGAGTGCAGAGGGTGCCACAATTACAGTCAGAGCTGGAGAGCGCTCGTAGTGAGTGTGCGCTGCCTCTTCACATTCATAACACTTTCGCATTCATTCGGGCTTGTGTGACAGAGTGTTATTAGCTCCATTACACGAAGGTTAAGATAAACACCGGCGGCACTAAAGTCAACGACCAGTTTAAACTGGTTAAAACACCAGAGAAAGTTGCATTATTCCGAGCATAAAGTTGCAATATTGTGCCTCTATTCTTCTAATAGCATAACTTTATTCTCACCATTACATTTTTCCTCCCTTTTTCTCATGGAGTCAATCTAATACTGTGTTTATAATTAGAAAGATCAGCTCAGTCCATTTTTTTTTCCATTTCATCTTAATTCTTTTTGTTTTTTTGCTTTAAAAAAACAAAAAAAAAATTAATTATTCCAGTCTAAACTCAGGTGTGCCTTAAAGAAATGAATAAAAACAAAAAACAAAATGAGGATTATGTGTGTGGGAAAACCAATTACAGCCTTCCTACTTTACAGGATTTGAGAGGAAAAGTAGCAGTTTGGGGTTCACCAAGTAAGTGCGCCCTGCAAATTGTGTAATTAAGCAGGTGGTGAGCTCTGGAAGAGGTTATAAGAGCATTTGTTAACGATTACGAGTTCATTATTCAGCAGCGAGAAAGATCTTTCACAAGTTGAAAATATTCAGAGCAGCACCACACTCTTTTCCTCGTCGCCATGATGGGATAGTTTTGTGTGGAGGTTTGAGCAGGGAGCTGAATTTAACAGAACTTGGAATACATCTGTAACAAAAACAAAATGTGGGGCAAGAGATGAAGAGATGAAACGAAGGTGTTGCAATGGCTCAGTCAAAGTTCAGATCTCAACTTGACTGACGTTTTTGCAAAGTTATTCCAGCTGATGTGGCTGTATGAGTCGCACGCCTCGATAGCCGAAACTGAAATATGGATTACTTTCTTTAGACATTATAACACAGCTGCCAGATTTACACACAAACGGCTCAAAGAACGTTGTATTTTAAATCAACCACAGTGCACCCTGCCGTGGGAAATGACTGCACTGTTCATTATGTGAAGCTCCTTAATGTAACGAGTGTCTGGGGTCTTTGTGGCAGGTTACATTGATTACTGTTTGTGCTGCTAATGGCACCAAAATATCTGCTACCATAATAACAGGAAAAAATCAGCGCTGCAACATTCTTTCTGTTTGTAAAGGAAATGTCCTTCTTCTAGTACGAGACAAATCGACTCCAAAATACACTCAAGACGCAAACCTTGGAGTACTGACCCTCTGTCCACCCACTCTGCCTTTGTTTGACCCACAGCTGCAGACATGTGTATGTCTGTTTTCAATTCATGCACCGGTTATTAATACGTTTGCAAAACACTAACAATGTTCTTAAAAAAACAACAACTTTTCACCCAGAATCTAACTGAAGTGTCATCATCAGAGCCGGACCAAGGGATATGCTAGCTAAGCTGCTGCTGAGGGCCACCAGGGGGCTCCCAAGAGCATCATTTGATTGATTTCTTTTTCTGGTGATAGATTCCACCTTGTGCACATTTTGCACTCCTATTTCAAATTTATACAACAAAAGAAATGAAATTTTCTGACTTCTTTTTACTGCATATTTGGTGTTTTTGTCTGCAGATGTTACTTTCAAATTAATATGTCATTACTTGAATACAAATCTGCATTTCTGAATGCAAATTAATCAGAGCATCTTTGCTTGTTCTGTTATTCCCAAATCAACAGCCATAATGACACCTCTATGGTGTAAGCTAATTACAAATGACGCTAATCGTAGCAGGTGTTTTACATGTGTAGTACTGCCCAGAAATGATGTAGTATCTGGGCTTCAACATGTTGGTATTGGTGGCCAAATTAAAATCTGCTTAGGGCCCCAAAAAGGCCCTAAGCAGGCCTTAAAACCTCTTAAGTAGATTACGCTACAGATTTTTTGCTCCGACGCATGATTTTTATCGACTTCCCCCCTGTCGTCTCCGTCAGAGGCCGTGTCCAGCGCTGCCCTCTACAACTGCCTGTATCTGGAGATCTCCGCCTCCCTGGACCACCGCACGGAGGAGCTCCTGGACTCCGCCGTGCGACTAGCCAGAGGTCAGCCGCCGTGGCCCCCGGGATCCAGCGCGGAGGACATGTGCGGAGGAGGTCAGCGAGAGAGCATCACCTCGCGTGCTAAACGCTTCCTCACCAGCCTGATGCCCCGGTACCCACGCGAGAGGGAAGTGGGCAAGTTCCTGAGACAGAAGTCCCGCTCGTGCCACGACCTGGGGGCGCTGTGATCGCACGCGGCGAGGAGGTTCAATAGCTTAGCAGAAACAACTCGAGGTGATGTAGTAAAGCAGCAGAAGGGAGGAGGGAGGGAGTGACGTGGCACTTAGAGGACAGAGATGTAGGATGTGAATGGCAGATGGGGGGGATGTGCGTAAATTTACCGGTGAAACCACAGAAAGGCATCGCAGTATGGTGTGAAGGATCATCCGGCGCACAGGAGATGGGAAGAAACGATAGCTATCATGTCAAACGGCAAAATTTTGTACACAAGTTCAAAGAAAACAAGGAAAATATACTGGTGTAAATAAGCTGTAGATGTGATACCTAACTGCCACAGCTTTAAAAGTGAAATAAATAGCTTTTTTTGAGTCTTCAGACTGCTGTTTCACATTGGCATTGAGTTCTACTTTTGTGTTGTCACCGTGAGCGGATGGGAAGTAATCAAAGCAGAGGAAAGAAACACACAGCATAAAGGCATCTCTGCAGATATCCATAACCTTTTACCGGGTGAGGCCTCATGTTGCGCTCATTTCTTTTAAGCTGTAATTGCATCCATGATGACGGCGGAGGAGCCACGAAGGACAGACAGGAAATAAAGAGATCCACAGAGCAACAGCAAGGCAGGCGATGCAAAAGGACAGCAGATCATTGTATATAGGCCGACTGTTGCCATGTTACTGTTGTCTAGGAAACCTGGAGTCACAGAGACGTGGACATTATGTCCACTCTCGCTCTTTGGATTTGTCTCAGCGCTTCGGTTAGGGAACGAGGAGGTTGGTTGTTGGTGACTACGTTGCATTTTCAGAGTTCAAATACTTAAAATAATTTCTAGAAAATGAAGATCTTTCTTCTTCATGGACTCATCTGCACACTCTGCCCACAGTACTTCTGTCCTCCCACGGCCACCCACACGTCCAAAGATCCTGGATCATTATACTTTTTTTTTTTTTTTTATCAAGAAAAAAAGCTGAGATATTATAGAAGAAGAAAGGAATAGAAAATGGTGGCACAGTAGTCATGAGTCATTCTCTTGGCTACAAACTACTGGAATGAAATGAAAGGTTAAGATTTTGCACAGGAAAGGATGAGCCTGAGGCGCCCTCTGGCGGTTCATCTGGAGTCCTGCAGCACAAGACAGATCTGGCCAAGTGTTTTTCTGTTCTGTTATTTTATTTTTTTTTAGCAGCAGTAGCGATACTCAGAGCAAACCAGGTGTCATGCAGATGGTGTTATGGGAGTTTTAACACGAGCACTGAGGAGGAAAAAATATTTGTCAACCGTGTGTGTTTTTAAAAGCAATTTATAGAAACCACAATAAATTACACAGCAGATATGAGAACGTGGGAGGTCGGCTGTCGAAAATGGCCATTTGTCTGAGTGAAGAGTGCACAAAATTAGTCTTAAGATTTATTTTTCCGACTATGTAATTGCAAGGCAGAATTGTGGTGTTGAAATTTAAGTGTGCTTTATGGATACGCAACGAGAGTTAGTGCAGGAAAGGACAGTTTTAAAAAAAAAACAAATACTTCAAACATATAAAGTGTTGCATGCATTTATATTCATATTCCTTTTCCTCTGAACTCTCCTAATGAAAATCCCCTGATTAGTAAATAAATAGTAATTTAATCTTATAGCAGGTTAAACTCTAAAATGATATCCCAAGCTTTGGACATCTTATGGGTGCATCTTATATTTCTACAATTGGAAATTGTAGAAATACAAAGATGGAGGGAACCTGGGCTAGACTTCAGAAAGGGTTAACAGGCCATGGTGACAAAAATCAATACACCATGTTAAATCTTAACATACTTTAAGTCAGACTAGTCATGCGTATACTTCAAGTTCATTTCGGATTAGTGACAGTGTATTTTAATAGTATTTAAATTGTATTAAAGCACAATTTAAAGTGTACGAAGTGTACTTCATACGTTTTTTTTTGAGGACTTGACACACTTTGTATACTTTTAAGTGTATTGCTTTTTATGTAATATAAACGTGCTTTATTAATATATTTTGAGTCTACCAGTTTTGTGATTGAATTACATTTAACGTTGTGTTTTTGAGTTAAAAATGGTTTAAAGTTGACAGGAAATTTGAAAATAATCACTTGGTAATAATGTGATATTGAAAGATTGGACTATTAACACCTGAACACCAACTATAAAGTCTTAAGAGATGCAAACATTTTAAAAAGACTTAAATAAGCAATACTTAGCCTAGTGGCCCACCAGGCTTATAATACACTGGGGGAAACCTGAAAACCTTATAATGCTGCATTTTACTTTCTGCTGATGAAGTTGATGGATTAAACAGACAAAATAAATGGCCATTTTATTCATTCTTGTTTTAATGGAATGATTCAGGAAGATCTACAGTTAAAGGACAAAGGCATGATATGGGTTTTGGGCACAAGTTGGTCTAAGCTACTTAGAGGCTACAAGCCTGAAGTTTTTGGTCAGCAAGCTTTAGAGACACCCATGTGTTGAGCATGGAGGCCCTGAGCTTGCACCACACCAGGTGGTTGCTCAAGCCGATGATCTGAGCCGCAAACTGAGCCGCGGCGTCAGGAGAGAGGATCGTGGAGCAGCCCAGGCCTGTGGAGGACACGGAAGACAAGAAAGCTTAGGGGATCAACCCGTCTCCCATTAAACGGTAGAGCAAACAGGACGCTGGGCACTCTGCTCACCACTCGGCAAACGGAGGGATGACCAAACATCTTGCGCTCCCCAGTCTGGGGTGAGAGGGGGGCAGTTGATGACGGGATAAGCCGTGTTTCCAGACATCACCGGCCCCAGGCCGTTACTCCTGCCAGCTACAGCCACAAATATGGTAGGAACCCCGTCACCTAAAGGTGAAAGATAGTAATAATAATTAAAAAATAGATATTAGAGATGAGGGACGGGGCAAAAACACCCTCTCATCTTAAGAAATGCATACCTTCATATTCTGCTTTAATACGGAGAGTCTCATCTGGGCCTTTGTGAGCAGAGGTGACCCTCAAGATGCAGGGGAGTCCATAGGAGGTGCAGGCCTTCTTGATTTTTTCACAGTGAGCCATATCAGAGGTGGAGCCCATCAGAACAACCACCCGGCCGCTGGCCTGAGGCTCCAGGAGGAGCTACCGATAACACAGGGATCAATACCCACATTGAGCACACTGCAGGAGTTAATGCTGATGGAGAACACCAACTAGTGCTGCAGACTACTGTAGAAACTGTTCAAGGGTGGATACAAGAGCAGCAGTCTTCATGCTCATCCTTCTGGTTGTATGTTTTTTCATATTTCCCCAATAACACCTTAAATTTCAGAATGCAATAAATTTTTAAATGGTCGCCATTTGATTCTTAAAGCAGTTATTTTCATAAACTGTTCCCTATTTTTATGCCTTGGATGTCAGTGGCTAGTTGTGCCCACCTCAGTGAAAATACACATGCTCCATTATAACCATTTTGAAAAATGTCCACCAGAAAAAGAAAAAAAATATATCATTCGTATTGCTCAAAATATGCAGGCTGTGATTTGAAACTAAACACATTCACCTAGTTGGACATTTTGGCATGAAAATAATTTTCCATGATGAGCAAAACACCATCAGTAGATATGATTTGTGGGTCCAATTATGTACAATTTGCCACCAAAATTACTCATCTGCTCAGGAAAATTGCCACCATCTTGATTTTTTTTTTTTTCAGTAACTAGCATGTGAAAATGTTTGCTGAAATATTCAACCATCTGCTGCACCAAACCAAAGCATTTCCTCAGGTACTGATGTCAAGTAAATCCTACCTGGACCCGTTCAGAAACCCACTCAAAGTTCCTCTTCACCATCTGCATTGCTTCTGGAGTAACTTCTTTCAGGTCGCGATACACCTTTGGGGTGACCGGGGGTCAGGGGGACAACATTTTAGCCTTTACAGTTCACTGAAAGCGCGTCATCATACAATAAAGACGATTATAATTTCTGACCTGCTTATCTTTCTGCTGGCTCCGATCCCCAGCCGGCCACAGCCTCCACGAGTCGTTGTCGATGACGTCAGCGAGAACAATCTCCCGTGTTTTAACATTCACACCGAACTCAATCTACAAAGATTTAAATAGGAAAATAAAATAAGTTCTGTTGTTGGGATTAGTAAATAACCAGCAGGGGCGACGACCCGCCTTCATGTCCACCAGCGTGCAGTTCTGAGTGGCCCAAGCCTTCTCTAGAATCTCAAAGATGGCCACTGTGCTGCGGTTCATGATGTCCACCTCACACTGACCAATGGTGAGCCCAGCCAGGCTGAACTTGGCCGCCAGCACCTGCTCCTCGGACCACTGAGGATCGTTGTTGGCGTCATCCTAGAGAGAACAGCAGTCAGTCGCTTCGTGCCCATTCACAGACGGCCAATTACAATCATCGTGAGCCTTCGCGCTTACTTTGAAAAACATCTCCATCTTCAGTGGGGCGAAGCGGTAACCCTCTTTGACTCCCGGGTTTCTCTTCAGAAAGGACCCAGTTGCCACTCTGCGACTCACCCACTCGATGGGAATCATCTTACAGTGGGCAGCGATGAACGCCGTCTCCGAATGTTGCTGCACGAAGGCGGTCTTAATGCCTGCAGAACAAGACCGATTTAAAGGCTCGGGCCTAATCCCAGCCTTGGACTTTAGAAATGTATTCCAGGTTTTTGAAAGAGTTCCAGACATTTTTTAATGTCCGAATTCAACGAAACTTGGATACATCAGTAGCTACATGAGTGAATAAATGCACAGAAGGATGGAAGGGCGTGTCAAATGAACGGCGGTACAAAAGGTTCACTGGGCAAAACAAAGGGATGAGTTGCCTGTTTAGGCAATTCATCCCAAGAGCCCAAGCCCTTGGTTAATTGCCCAAACCAAGGGCTTGGGCTTAACCAAGCCCTTGGTTAGGGCTTGGTTAATTGCCCTAACCAAGCCACCATCCCTTATAAATTACACCAATAAACTTCCAGCCTTTCCAGAGTAGGTAACAAAAGATGATAAAAATAAAGTGGCTCAAATGGCTGATTGTTTAAACAGAGAGAACTTCAAAAACCCATCAGCAGTGTAAAGACAGGTTTTTTTAAAAATGCATTTATTCATGGTTACTGTCCTTTTGGATGGGCTTTTATTGTTGTATTGCAGTTGTGCCCCTGCTTCCAAGATCATTTTTTTCCTATGAGTCTAATAAAATCATCTTTTATCCTCAATGTGATTCTGCTTAATCATAACGTGACTCGACCAGTTCTGGTGAAAGTCACAAGACGGACCGGGCTGCCGCTTGATTTACGCACACAGCAGACTGAAGAGGCACATGGCAGCAAATTAGCCACTTACTTCTGCATAACGGCAGAGAAAAGCAGTGGTTTGGAGATTAATTCATTCATAGGTGTACCTTGTCTTTACAGACAGCAAACACCTGACGTTACCTCATGGCAAAAGGGTAAAAGGTGGTCTTTTTTGTCCTTAGTTGTCATCTTACTAATCTCTGTCCTTTCCAATCGGGGTCACACCAGCATTCATGTCAAACAGTACTCAGCTGCTAATAAGACTAAATCAATAAAAATCAGTTGAAAAATGAAAAACTCAATCATTTCCATTTGCATGATTTATCGTTTCTTCAGTCTGGTGCATTGGTCTCAACCGGCCCTTTTTTTTTTTTTAAATTAACTGTCTACAGAAACTTCATAATTCGTTTTATTTACTTATTTGTTTTCTGTATATAAAATTTCTTCCAGCTCTGTTGCTAAATGTTCATTATGATTTTAATTATTTTTGAGCATCTGCCTTTGCTTTCTTATGCCATCGCCATTTTATTACTTGAAAATTATCTCTGAACAACAATATTATTGTGTATTGCAATAACTTGTGTGACAATTTATCGTCAAGCTAAATTTATTATCGTGACAGGTCCCAAATATGTTAGTTTTCTGGGAGGAATAATGGGGCATGACTGAGCCTAAAATATATGGAGGAATTTGTGTGAAACTTGCTTGAGGGCAAATGTGACACATCTGCATCAGCTCACGCTGCAACCTGCAGCACCAACACCTTTGGATTCACAAACGTCACCAAGTCCTCACCAGATTCCCGGAGAAGTTTGAACACGCAGCAAGTCGTCTTATTGGCGATGGCGGCCTTGCCCTCCATCTGATCCTTCCTCGCCGCATTCCCAGCGGTGATCTGGTCTTTGGACTGCACCAGAACCAGCTCAGGCTGGTCCGCCAGCTCGAAAATCTGCTTTGTCTTCCCCTCATTCAGCTTCTGGCCGATGTTCAACTCTGAAATCACGCACAACAGCGAAAAGTGAAATGGAGCAGGTTGCGTTTGATTACTAAAGCGTGAGTTGGTTTATTTTTATTTTATTTTTTTTTTCGTGCAGTACCTGCGCTGGAAGCCATCGCGTTGCTCGGTCCCAAACTGTCCTAGAGTACAAGCCAAAGAAAGTTGTCAGGAGCAGCAGCGGGGAGGCGTGGAGGCATGCAGCAGGAGAGGAGAGGAAACCGAGCCCCGTCTTACGTTCACTGACAGCCAATCACAGCCTTCCACAGACTCTCTCTGCCAATCACAGCAGCGTTTTGTAACCACGTGGGTTCAGGATGCTCCAGCACATAATTTTAAGGAGAAAAACTTTGGAGTGCCACCATTTTTAAGTTCGATAAGAGAATAGATCTGTCGAGAACCAGGTCAACACGAGATAGCAGGTCAAGTGACCAAGCAGGACAGTACAAACACTTGAGTTTGTAATCAAATTGCGGTTAATTCATTCATGATAAGAGTCAGGACGTCTTGGTTCTTCGGTGAAAACCGTCTTTGCCTTTTGTTGTTGTTGTTGTTCTTACCCTTGATTGAATTAGTGTGTTTCGGGCTCGTGAAGGCGAGTTAAAAACGGTTCGCCACGTTGTGTTACACAAAGCACGTGTTCACTCAACAGTGTACGTGCACGCGCACGCTGCTTCCGCGGCAAGTTAGGCACGAGACCGTCAGTCCGGGTTAACGGGGTAGCGGTTGGAACTCACAGCGCCCGGGACCAGCATGGAGTTCGAGGAGTCCGGCATCGGGGAGGAGTGCGGGGTTTTCGGCTGCGTGGCTGCCGGAGAGTGGCCCACGCAGCTGGAGGTGGCTCAGGTTCTCACTCTGGGACTGGTGGCGTTACAACACAGGTAAGCCTAAGTAACAACGGATAACTTATAATTTTTTGGCTAACGGCTCTTTCTCTTGCCTGGCTTCTCTCCAGTGTCAAGTTCAGGAGAAAATAATAATAATAATAATAATAATAATGCAGGCACGGTTACCAGAACTCTTTGGTCACGAGCTTAAATAAACTCAAACCTGTAAACATTTTGTACATTTAAAATGTACTATTACGTCTGTGTGACGTTTTGAGTACACTCGATATTTCTAAGTAGAAACTATGCGAAATTTATGCTGTAAAACATTTAAAGTTACTACTCAGACTTTTTTCTTTTACAAGCCATTAAAGCCACTTTATATTTAGGTTTTCGCATACTGTACATGTTTGGACAATTATTATCTTAGTTCATTTACTTTTATATTGAATGATTATGTTTTCATATTATTCCGTGTGTTGTTTTCTTTCCCTTTTTCTTTATTGTATATTCTTAACTGTCTTTTGGGGGTTTTTTCTTGAGGGTTAGAGATGTCTCACACATTTCTGTGTTAAGGAGCCACAAGGATCTTTGTCTGTATCCTGAGAGTGGTCATCTTTGTGTCCCAACAATGGGACATCAATGATCCTGAGAGTGGTCATCATTGATGTCCCAACAATGGGACATGTCCCAACATGTTGATGTCCCAACAATGGGACATCAAAGATCCTGAGAGTGGTCATCATTGTGTCCCAACAATGGGACATCAATGATCCTGAGAGTGGTCATCCTAGTGTCCCAATGATGGGACATCAAGGATCCTGAGAGTGGTCATCCTTGTGTCCCAACAATGGGACATCAACGATCCTGAGAGTGGTCATCTTTGATGTCCCATTGTTGGGACATCAACAGGAGAATTCCAGAACATCCTGTAGAATAGTGTATTGGTCAATTGTTTGCATGTCTGAGTGAGAAAGCCAACCTCTTTGTCTATTCACATGATAATAAAAGGCAGTTGGGGACTGAGAACCGTAGCGTTTGGCAGTGGTTCTCTCTCCGAGTCGAGCTCTTCTCCCCTTTTCTGCGGAAAAGTAATTTGTGTCTTTGGTTGATTCTTGCAGGTTGGGGAACAAAATAAACCCAACAGTACAACATGTCAAATTTTATTTAGCCGGATATTGCTATTTAAATAATGTAGAGTCTGCCCTCCCTAAAGCAAACTTCCAGTTGCACTTGCCTATGGTGACGTCACATAAGGCAACTGATCAGTATCAACATATCTTTTGCATTTTTCTCATGTTTTTTTGTACATTAATTTTCACATTTATCAATTTGAAATTTATTCTACAAAAGAGTTTCCTAATTTTATATAACCAGGTCAACATGTGTGAGGTAATTCACACAAAGAAAAAAAACAGCAGGATTGGCAGGGTTTGTCTATGTTTCGTAAATTAATTGATAAAATGTTTTATTTTTTTTGTTAATGTCACTTGTTCATTTCTAACAATTTTATATCTTGGCCACTTAGTTTGATTTAATCTCAAAAAGAAGAGAAAATAAAAATGAGCTCATGATTAACACATAAAATGTTAACGAAATAGTAATGACTTTTTTTAAAATTATATCTCAGTGACATATAATCCTTTTTTTTGTGACAGAAACAGAAAGCAAAGGTGTTCTAAGTTTTGGATTAAAAAACTGCTTTATAGTAAGTTTGACTTGATGCCGTTGTGGTCCTGGAGCCCCCGTCCCCCAATTTTAAGTTAGAGATGGTTAAATTAACTGGACATGCAAATACGTTATAGAAAAACCCCTTGAGATGTGCAGTGATAACATCATTTTCTTTTCCTTTTGCTACACCCTCAACTGTCAATACTTCTTCAATTTTACTAAGCCGATACTTATTCATAATGTAACCTTGAATGAGACACAATGAATGAGAATCACTGTTGGCTGACACATCATTTTCACTGAATTAAAAGTTTTAAATTAATGTTAGATTTGTATTTGTACTTATGTGCTTCAAAATTACTTTCCATAGTGCAGGTAATGCCAATAATGGCAAAAATAGGAATTGACACACTTTCTATTTGAATTATCACCCTGTAATGCTTGAGAAGTTGTTGTTTTTTTTTACTGTAAGTGACACTGCTTTCTCACGATTACCTGTGTTTTCGGCCGTTCGGGATTAGAGTGGGCCATGGAGCACACGGATTTGATCTTTATTATGGGAACATGCTCCTGCTCCTCTTTGCACTGTGCCTCCACCTGAGCACGTCCTGCATTCAGTAGTTTGGCTGGTTTCTGGTATGTGGAGTCTGAAAGTAAAAACATCGGCATGCTGTGATGTCATTACTGTCCTTCAAACGTAGTTTGCGTCACAGTCGACCTAATCTGGCATTGCGTGTGTCTTTTATTTGTATATTTTTTTTCTTTATTGCTACAATCATATCCTCATCTCGTTATCGGCCTCAAATCACAGGACAGAGCCCTTGCTCATTTCGAGACATCATGGGACATGCTCAGTGATGAGAGAAAGGAGGGATTTTTAAAAACCTTGATCCACAGCTTTTCTCTTCGTTCCTCTGTTTGCTGGAAAGTTGAAGTCTTTTCCCGCCACAGTCTCAGATGGGCCTGCAAACACCATGCAGCAAAAAAACAGTGAGGAAGTAAACTCAACAGCTTAATCGATTTTTTTAACCTTGCTTTTTTTCATGCTTTTCAGTATATTGATGCTGTGAATGTTTAAATAAGTTGGTGCACAATTTTAGGTCTTGAAAATTGGGGACTACTACCTCATGCTAACATTAGCTTTATATTCAAAATTAGCATTTAGCTAACTTTACAATAATGAAGGTAGTAAGTGATTAATATTAGTAAATGGTGATGATAGAAGTGTTTGAGTTAATATTAGCATTTTTGAACATTTTAGCTTATATGCTATTATTACTCAATTGAATATGTCACTGTAAGTTAATATGATAGGAAAAGTCCTAATAACGTTAACATTTTAGCTCATTTTGATATAAAAGCCAAACCATATGGAGTAAGTCAGTGTTAGTCAGCATGCTAATCATACCCCAAATGCTATTGACTACATTGTCGCTTAGTTTAGCATGCGCACTGCTGTTTGCATTGTACATGGATAACATTACTGGTGGTTAACATGCTAGTTTAGGGAATACTGTAGTTAACCTAAGCATTTCAGCCAATTCTGGACTTTTTCATGACATTTAACATAGACAAACTGTTTGTTGTTTCAAACTTTTTAAGGCTTGAGTGATTAAACCCATTGAACCTAATGCTTCTTCACAATCTCAGATTTGGTTCACTTTGATAGGATCCATTTAAATTTCTTCAGAAATTGTTCGGACTTTTACTTTGCAGATAAAAGTCTAAACCCTACCAATCCTATTTTAAGGGTCGGTATGTAGAACGCATTACTTTATTAAAGCAATGAAGATTTCACATTTTATTCTAAAACAGATAAAGATATTGAGGGTAAAGCGCAGCCTCTTGTTTTGGTTGGTTTAAGTCCCTTTTTCTTGTTTAGCTAAGGAACTAAAGGTCTGTCTATAGTATTTAGACAAATTATGATCAGCTCACTCTTTGGGGTGTGATGTTGATCCGACTGATGCTCCCTGATTTCTTGCAGCCTCAGATCATCAGTGTCTGTGACTAGGCCAGAGTAGCTACGACAAGTTTTCTCCTCCACTGCTGCTCCTCTGCTTGACATTGGTAAACAAACGTCAATCCGACGGTTTTCCTCACAAATCTGCAAGACTGGAAGTGGACCCGTATGCACAGCGTCAGCAGCCCCCCTGCTGCGTAGCGAGCCATTTGGGGCGTGCGTCATAATAGCGTCCACTTCATCATAAAACCTCATGAGGCGCTTCCGCTCGGCTTCATCCGTCTTGCTCCTGTGAAGGGACCGGTAGAGGTACTTGAGGTTCTTGTACTTGGTGTGGCACTGCTTCCAGTCCCGCTCAATGCCTTGCTGCATGAGACGGTTGGAGATCTGGACGAAGATGTCCCTCTTTCTGGTCGAGCTCTCCAGCTGCTTGCATACGCGTTCGTCGGACCACACCTGGATGAGAGCTTGCACCTCCTGGTCGCTCCAGTTCCGGCCAGTGTCCGACACCGTGACCACGTGGAACTGGTCTGAGCTCGGGGAGTCTGCTTGTGTCAAATGGGCCTCTGTGGTGCAGAAGAATAGAGGTAGTAAAAATCTCTTTGATCCAAAATTTTTGCACATTTTGCTATGTCAAAATTTCATAATTTTTTGAGGATTCTTGATAGTTTTTACCCATCTTCATTGTATAAATCAAAAATTTTTGGCAGATACAAAGGAATGCTGTGAATATGGAATTGGATAATGAACGAGGCTGGATGTAGCACTCCTGCTAACAACAATTTTAGTAATTGATACATTTTTAATTAATTACCACTTAAGCTTATTGTATACAATATTTAAAAATATGAAAGTAAGCAATCAAATTCCTTTTTATTATTATTATTATTATTATTATTATTATTAAATAAAATAGACATTTTATCACCTAAATGCAATCACAGAATTTCTTTAGAGAACATTTGGTCATTTGTAGAAAAGGATGCATCTGAACTAAAAAAAAACTTTAACATCAACACAACAGGGCTGATCTGCTGATTAAAGCAAAAGGTGCTTAAGAGCAGGTTTTTGGTTTGTTTGTTTGGTTTTTTTTACTCAATTTGAAGTTATTTATATTAAATATGTTTTACCTCCTTCCTCTTTAAAATATATTCACAAAGAAAGGCATTTCATCTTAGCTGCAAATTGTTTTGGCTTAACGTCAGCTTTGACTCCTTTCTCAGCAGAGTCTGAATACTCCAGTTAATTATAATCAATTTACTAAATTAGATGACAATTACTTCAAGAATTGAGTCATCACAATTAATCTAATTTACTGTTTCAGGCTTAGATGGATGATGGAATGTTGTTGGATGGATCCATTGCATGGATTAATTAACAGACAATGGAAATGGATAAATATTGATTGATAAATGTTCAATGGACAAACAAGACAATCATAGATGTAATACGTTATGGAGAACAATGGATAAATGAATACACAAAAGAGCAAACGGTTGGATTTATCACACAAGTGGATGTTGGATTTTGAACAGATATGGATGGCTGTTGGGTGAATGGATGGATAAAACGTTTAGGTAATGTGAAGATGAATGAAGGTCAGAAATGTAGACATTTTCCATATGTCACACAGTGAATTATACCTGTGCCTCTCCATTGTGCTTCTATGTCTCCATCAATATCATAGTCATCACTGTTGTCGTCTGAAAATATAAGAGAAAAATTAATTTTCCTGAATTCGAGTGTATGGTGTGTAATCCATCAGAATTGCCCACCATCTTCAATCTCAATGATGATCTCATTGTCTGACGTCGTGATGGATCTTGTGTTGCATGGCGCCGTCTGAAGCTGGCCCACCGTCGCGTCTCCGTTGTATAGTCTCTTTTGCATCTCCTCTGTCCCATTTTCCAGTCCCTGGTTGAGCAAGATGGCTTCCACCTCTTCAAAAAACTTCATATACCTCCCAGGGCCCCCAGCTCCGCTGCCCGCGGCAGCATGGGCGCTCTTCGCTGTCTTGTAGTCATACTTCAAGTTCTTGTATTTGGTCCGACACTGCTTCCAGTTGCGCACCACCCCGAACTTCCTCTGCATCTGGCGGGCCATCTCCTGGAAGATGCACTTGTTGCGCAGCGTGCTCTTCAGGCGCTCGCGGACGCTGCTGTCGGCCCAGACGCACAGCAGCGCCCGCACCTCGTCGTCGGTCCAGTGGCGGCCGCCTTCTTCAGTTGCGTTTGGCGTCAGAGGAAGACTGGGATGCATTCTTGCCTTTATTCCTACAGACAGACATTTTTATCTATGGATGAACCATTCCACTTTTTTCACCTATATCATAGGTTTGGTTTTGGCTGATGCCTACCACTACACAAAATTAGTGATGATCTGACTTAAAAAGTTTCTATTTTGTAAACATAAATGTACTGAGTTACAAATATATTTGATAACTGCACCAGTACAGCACATTTAAATACAGCAATACCCTCCCAAGTTTGGTCAAGCAAGTAAAAACAGCACAACTTTGAATTTGTTCAGTCAATTCAATTAGAATCACAACAGCCTAATGTAAAATAAATAAAAACAATAGTTTGACTACCTTGGTCAAGCATGTAAAAATAAACTGGAACAAACTTTCTTTGAAAGTTCAACCAGGAATTCTAAACATAATGCAAAATAAAAACCATGAGCAAAAAGCATAGAATTAGTCTGAATAGATCTGCCTTATAAAATTCTATGATCTAGAATTTTCTAAATCAGTGCATCTCTACTTTTACATTTGTTAAAACTTTCTCTTTTTATTGGAGATATAATTCAGCTTTTAGAGCATGAAGCCAAAAAAAACAAATAAAACTTGTATAACATGCTTGCTCTTGAGGCAGTGCTACGGTTTGTGCTAACCCTAGATTTACCTTCATTCATTGGCACTGAGACTGAGGAAATGTAGATGGCCTCCACCGGCCTTCCATCCAGTCCCGGGGCAAAGCCGGCTGACGTGCCCGCGGCCGCGTCAGCCCTCCTGCTCTGAAGTCCCAGACTCCTGCTCTTAGCCTGACACTCCTTCCAGCCGCGCGCGACGCTGAGCCGCCTCAGCCGCTCTGAAATCAACTCGAACGTGCCCCTGCCCTCTGCGCCGTGCTGAGCTCCAACCTCATCCCACACTGACACGAGAGCCAGCACCTCTGCTTCCCCCCACGGCCTCTCCGGCGAGCCGTGCTCCTCCACCACCACCTCCCCGTCTGCCCCTCTTTGTCTCTCTGTTCCTCTCTCCATGTTTCGAGCTGACCTGGAAACGTTTTCGTTTCCTCGGCCCCCCCTTTCTATCTATCTTTTTTTTTTTTCCTTTTTTTGTCTCTGCTGCCCGGTTCCCTAGGCAACCAGGCGGTTAAGCCTGAGAGCAACGCCTACGTGCTGAAAAGCAGCCTCACCACTGGCTTAAGCTGTGTGCAGAGGGGGAGGGATCAAGTGTAATCTGAGAAGCAGCTTGGTGAAATGGACTGAAACTGCAGCAAGACGACTCTCCATGAATGGCAGCTCCACAAATGAGAAGCTCCTTTGTTCTGTTTTTGTGTGTGTGTCCCCTCCTCCAGCTCTGGTTCCTCTTTTCTTCTTCATTGCTTAAATCAAACTGGTTTGAACCGCCTCAAGGCGCATTATCGGAGCTGAGTTTGTTGGAGCATGTCCAGTCTTGTTGGAATCTTTTATTCGACTCCCATCTTTGCAGAATTGACAATTTTGTTTTTGTTTCCTCAGAGGTCAGGAAAGTGCTGGGATTGTCACAAGCAATGGAGCCAGTCCTCCGACATACACAAGCCACAAGGTGAACAAGTTGTTTAATTCACGCACACATCAAACGTGGCCTCAATTCACACACCTCACGTTCGGTTTAAAATTTAAAATTTAACGTTGCTGGCCACTTGCGCCTCTCCTGGTTTGTTTCGAGGTCCTTTCTCACTCGAATCATCAACGGTTCAAACAATGATCCCTCTCGGCATTTCTCAGGGCATGGGATTAGTGAGCACCGCTTTCCCACCAGAGGCTCTGCTCAAACTGCGCTACGGGAACCTTGGCATCTGCCACACGCGCTACTCAACAACCGGGTCCTCGGAACTGCAGAACTGCCAGCCCTTTGTGGTCGACACGCTGCACGGCCGGATCGCCGTGGCGCACAACGGAGAGCTGGTCAACTCCCGTGCCTTAAGGAAAAAGGTGAGGACGGGCATTGTATGTTAATTGTGATTAGTATTTATGCTTCAGGCATAAATATAATTTCCCCTCTCATTTTTTCACTTATTTACTGGTCTCATTCCAGCTCGATAGTTGTTTGTAGCCACCGCATTCACAGAGACCCCCGTCTCATATGAAGTTTTTAGTTTGACAAGCAAATTTCTCTTGGGCATCAATAAAGTTTGTGCGCCACGGCAAGATCTCCGTGGCGCACGATGAAGAGCCGGTCAACTGCAGTTGACATAATCAGTGTTTGTTAAAACATTTATTAATAATCAGTGAGCAGTATTATGTAAAATGAATTTTTTTTTAGCTTTATGTCATGTTATATGTCATACCTAAAGTGTTGCTTTGATTTCTTCACGCATGTTTGAGAAATCTTTCAGTCTCCCATGGCAAACATTCAGCTGTGCGAAACACCTGGGGGGACCGAGTGCTGCCTTCAAAGATGAAATTCCTGGCCTTTTTTTTCCCGACTTTCTGTGTCAGAGCAGGTCTGCCCCACAGCTCCCCCACTCAGCTCCTTCAGACTAGTCAGCAGTAATTAGCAGACACGTGGTGGAACTGGACATCTACTGAACTCATTATACTTGCTACTTATGAGTGAAACTGGCACTGGCAAAAACGTTAAAGGGTTAATCGAGGAGCCATGTTGTGACGACATCTTGGAGGCGGAGTTTCAGAAAGAGCAGGAGTTTCTTAAGGAGACAGAGGCCCAATTTTAAGGCATTAAAGGCAGTAAATTTTCTTTTAAATCATGTTTTATATATGTAGCATTTTTATAACAACTGACAGTAGCATAATTACTTGACTGTGATTCTATGTGTCTGAAAAACATATAATACTGCCCCTTTGACGCCTAACAGAACTGCAGCTTTGAGCACATTTTGCGTTTAATGCTCCTAGTCTTAACTTTGTGCGGCAGGTAATGCGCCATGGAGTCGGTCTCTCCACCGGCTCAGACAGCGAGCTCATCACCCAGCTGCTGGCGCTGACTCCGCCCATGGAGGAGCTGGACACCCCTGACTGGGTTGCCAGGTGACTATCAAGTGTGGACGTTGCGGAAATGCACCTCCTCGCATTATTTCCTCATCTGATTTTTAGTTTTCTTCTATTGCAGAATTAAAAACCTCATGACAGAAACGCCCACCTCTTACTCGCTGCTCATCATGTTCAAAGATGTCATCTACGCGGTGCGTGATCCGTATGGGAACCGGCCCCTCTCCATAGGAAGGCTTGTTCCCGTCTCTAAGCTCCACAGTCCAGGTATTTGAGTCGTTTTTGCTGTTTGATTTTCACTTGTTAAGAATATTACTTTAATTGTGTTGTGAAACTAGGACAAGTAAAGGTTTAGTCCGGGCTCATGGGAAACCAGATGAAGATCTCTAATAAAGACATTGGATCCACATGGTGTCCACGGTTTTCCCCTTTGAACTCATTTTCTTACAAACAGGGAGCCTCACAAGAGGTTCAGCACCCTGGGATATGATTTCATCAGAGATCAGATCGCAGCTGGTGGGTGATTGACTTGACTCTTTGCTCCCTGGTTAGGTGCAAGAAAAGAGGACAGTGAGGGATGGGTTGTGTCATCAGAGTCCTGCAGCTTCCAGTCCGTCGGAGCAAAGTAATCTTTGTTGCTTTTAATGTTTCTCCACATGCCCATAACTGTAGTCTGCATTAGTTCCTAACATTGCCACATCCATCTCAGGTATTACAGGGAGGTCTTACCAGGAGAAATAGTTCAGATATCCAGGTTTGGAGTGAAATCTCTAAGCGTCGTTCCTCGTCCTGAAGGAGACCTGCCCGCCTTCTGCATCTTCGAATATGTTTATTTTGCCAGACCAGACTCCATTTTCGAAGGTATGAACATTTTTGAAATTGAGTTTTGTCGACATTAGCGGAGTCTTGAAAACCTTTTGCGCACATTTGTAATGGAAACGCAGCCGCTGTATAGTGACCGGATACTACCGCACCGCAGGGCAGATGGTGTATACCGTGAGGCAGCGCTGCGGCCGCCAGTTAGCCATCGAAGCTCCCTCAGACGTAGACCTGGTCAGCACGGTGCCAGAGTCCGCCACTCCTGCTGCTCTGGGCTACGCTCAGCAGGTCAGTCCTCGACTCATCTGCTCAAAGATGGAAAAAACGTCAACACTCACAATAATGTCTCCCTACCGCCCTTCTCCCAGTCCGGCCTCCCGTACACGGAGGTTCTGTGCAAGAACCGCTACGTGGGAAGAACGTTTATTCAGCCAAATACCTGCCTGAGACAGCTGGGAGTGTCCAAGAAGTTTGGGGTGCTGACCGACAACTTCGCAGGGAAACGAGTGGTGCTTATTGATGACTCCATCGTTAGGGGCAACACCGTCTCTCCCATCATTAAGCTGCTGCGGGAAGCTGGAGCGACAGAGGTTGGTTTCCTGTAGTGGGAGGAACGTCTAGAGTGTGATGCAGATTAGTTCATAGTGTTTATTTATTTTTTATTCTATTAATTTTGGTCTGACTTTTCCAGATAATACTAACTCTGTGGAGATGTATGCAGTGAAGGCAGCTTGTCTCTGTTATTGTATTTTCTATTTGTGTTAATTAAGCTCTTTTTAAGACCTTTTTAAATAAATCTAAGAATAAAATGAATGTTGAATGACCAGGAGAAGTGTGGGTAATTTTTATCCACATTTTTAGTTTTGTATGATTTTAGTGCTTTTACACTTGTGCTGTAAACAATCTTAAGGTAAATAAACTTTGCTAAATACAAACTTTTGCCTGACAAAGGAAGCTGATATCTTGATAATCATCAAGAATAGTTTTCTTTAATTCCCTAAAGAAACTACAGTAAGCCAATAATTGAAGACATTTAAAATATCTAAATCTGAAGTCACTGAATTTGGGGTGTGAAGACCCTGTTTCTCTGCTGCCATTGCTGGCTATGCTAACTAGCCTAGCATTCACAACAGGATCTGCTGATGAGAAAGGCTGTTGCAGCACTGCAGGAGATTGTGATTGGCAGCTCTAAGACCCACCTTCAGGCTCTGATTGGCTGTTTCTGAAAGGCAGTGGAGCTTGATTATTTTTTTTTTATTCTGACGACATAGTGCCAGTTTTAACAAATATGTAAGACTTTTTTTTTTAAGTTACATACTGCAGCTTTTAGTACATGCGTTTATCTGCTAGAAAATTTTTTGACAACAATCGTGTTACAATGCTGAGTGGATTGTGTGTTCTTTCTACAGCACATTTGATAGACTAACCATGCCAACCTTTTTTAATCCTCACATATAGAATAATTAAAAAGCTAGAAATTACATGCTGGGGCTGTCATGAGGAAATGCAGTCTAGACAGAAGAAATTTGTTCCATTCCACTAAAATCACACACAAATTCATCTCTATTTTTTAAAAAAAGAGGCAATTTATTTTTTTACCCTTTCTGTGCAGTCAGTCTCTGAGAGACATGACGTCTCATTCTATAGGCAGCAATACACAAAGAATGTCGTTTTATAACTAGAATTTAACAAATCATTTAAATTTGAAGTAAAAAACAATCACTAATAAAAAATAGTACTCACTACTTTTATGTTAACTTCGGTGTTTAATGATTGATATAAATGAAACCGTGACAGTGAGTGAAGACTCTTGGCTATGCAGGTTCACATCAGGGTGGCGTCTCCACCCATCAAGTTCCCCTGCTACATGGGCATCAACATCCCAACCAAAGAGGAGCTCATCGCCAACAAGCCAGAGTTTAAGGACATTGCTAGTTATATTGGTAAGATTTAATATACATATGGTATATTTGTTTTGTTTTTTTTTAATACATGAACTCGTTTAAACGTTCGTCTCTGCTTGTGCTCATTCTGCTGCGCAGGCGCCGACAGCGTCGAGTATCTGACCGTAGAGGGACTCGTCTCTGCTGTCCAGGAGGGAATCTCGTCCTTCCAGAAGGAGAATGTCGGCTCCTACAAGGAAGTAGGCCACTGCACCGCCTGTCTAACTGGGAAATATCCAATAGAACTGGAGTGGTAACTGGGACAGCCGCAGCATAGTGGAGCGACTCAGTCCTGCTGTCTGAAGTAAAGAAACGGTTCCACAGCTACGGCACAGGCATTTCTGCAGTCTCTGCTCACAACTTTAAACTGTTTCAAAATCGTCACCTTCCTAAAATAATGGTCTGAGTAATTTTTTGCCAAGTGATTTCTGTTTTTTTTTAATTCTAAATCCTCTTTTGGTTAAAAAAAAGAAAAAACAAAAAGACTCCACTAATTTAGGAAAGTGACAATGTGGTTTTGTTTGAGCTTTACAACACTACTTTTCTTTTCCTGAATCAATGGATATGTGATTAATTTTCTAAGCACACTAATAAGTATGTATATTTGTTTCCTGTATATGTTTAAACATCAAAAAGAACTCTGTATCCCAAGCATTTCCATATCAGAACATTAAAATGTGTAAGAAACACAACTGGAGACCAAAAATATTAAACACTTACTCAATGTCTTTAAATTGAATTTATTCTTTTTGCCAACTCAATATTTTTGAAACTTTAATAAAGGCAAACATAAAAACAAGAACAATGAGATGAACAGCATACGCCTTACAAGGATTCAGATTGCTTTAGATTCAGCTATGATTCAAAAAGAACAAGAAAGGACTCCTATGAACGCCACACTGCAGCCGCTCTAAAAACATAATTTATTTGGATCTAAAAACTTCTCCACAGGCCCAAATGTAGTTTTCTCGTTCGTCTTGATTTATCTCCAGTTTCTGTTGGAAAAAGCAAAGCTGGTGATTAAAGATGTAGAGATGGGGGGAAAGCTGAACATCTGCAAAGGACTTAAATCACATGGGACAGAAGCTCCCAAGTCGACCTCCTGTATGCGATTTCAACACATACAGGAGCATCAGTTTAGAAAACCAAGTGAATTTATTAGTTCAGATTCATTGTTGACCAACCTGCTACAAATGTCTTTGTTTTATGGCTCACAGCAATTGAAATCTGTCAGCAGCAGTGCAGAGATGGCTGCACTGATTGTGGACCTAATAAAACATGACATTTAATCTGAATGGGGATTTTGAACCACTGAACAGATCAGTCCTTTGCCTCATTAGCCAGACAAGCTTCCCTTTTCTATTTGAAGCCAGGATCTTTAACATGAATGATCTTTTGTGGCTTCCTCTCCTTTTGGGGTTTATGACCGTATCCTTGATATATATGTAAAAATTTATTATTGAGTCTTATGCAAGTTTCAAGTTTTCATCAGCTGTAAGCCACATTTATATATATATTAAAAAAAAGTCTAATGAATTAAGCTTCAGCCATTTTATGAGTTATAGCTGAAGTATTTAGCTTTTAGGAAAAAAAATGTAACATATTTGTTAAAAATTTCACTGTCGTGACAGTATGATACGAGACACTTAATCTGTAAAATTAAAAAAAATCCTAAGTCTCTTCCCACCACCTATTACAGAAAAGCACATCTTCTAATCAGAACCAGGAAAACGCTGTCAATCAAGTTTGTGTACATGGTGCTCAATGCCCTAATGGCAGAAAAACGACTCGCCGTTTCAGGAAAACTTAATCTGTTATCAGTGGCTATGCTAACTAGCTTTAGCATTCCTGGCTGATTGCTGATGGGGAGAAGTTGCAGCGTCTGACAACAAGGAGGTGGGGTGTGAGCAATGCGAACACAAGGGTGATTAACAGCACTAAGACCCTCCTCTCTGTTCTGTTTGGTTGCAAATGACAGTGATATATTTCTGTAAATAACCCTGGGAAAAACCACAGGAACTAAATTTTTAAGATTATCTGCCTCACACGGTCATGACATTTTGGCAATTTTATGCAAAAAAACTTTAATAAAAGTTAAATACCAGCCAAAGCTTTCAGATTTACGGTGCCTGTATTACCTGCTGGATCCCAATTGGGGCTCACCCGGAGAAAAGAAGAGAGGCTGGTGCCGGTCCATCCAGGCCTCCAGGTACGGTGTAGACTCCTGGGATCTGGGTTTACTGGGGCTGTAAGGGACGGCGCTGGGCCACTGGCAGCATCTCAGCATCTCATTGCTGTGACGCTTGGACCCCGGGGAGTAGGCGTAGTTTTCGTACCGGAGGCGTTTGGACTGCGGGTGGCTGTCGTACCTCTGCTCCCTGTGGCGCTTCCTCAGGATGGAGCGGTGGGGCGACAAGGCGAGTGCTGCCAACGACTTGGAGGTCTTCCCGGCCTCAGAGCCTCTTCCACACAGACGGCAAGGAAGGGGGTCGAAGGGAGCCGATTTGTTCTGGCACACAAACTTGTGGTAAACCCTCAGGTAGTCCTCCTCGACTTTCTTTGACAGTTGGTAGGTGTGGCGTGGTGGGGAAGAGTCGTAGCAGAGGGTTCGTCTGAAACCGCGGTGGCAAGCCTCTGCCCGGGCCAGCGGAGGCAAGACGGGCCGTTGTTGGGGTGACTGAGGGGAATCTTGGGGCTCAAACATCTTCCCCAGCACAAAAGGCCTCTTGGAAGGAGAGGACGTGGAAGTGGAGAGTGATCTAGGCTTCATCGGTTCTCTTGACCAATCCTCCTCGTATTTTCTTCTGGAAAATGCAAGAGGAGACCGACTGAGGGGACTGTGCCAAGCCAGGGTTCTGTAGATATCGGGCCTCTCTGGCACAGAGAGAGTTTCTGCTGCTGAGACCTCTGCTTGGTCTGAAGAAACAGAAAGTCTCCTAAGCCTGAAGGACGAATCTGGGGATGATTTGGCATTGCTGAAAGAAGCTGATGAGGTGTTGATGGGGATCTGATCAGCAAGGCGGGTTTGTTTACGAGGGGAATACTCTGACACAGTGGAAGCCTCGTTCAACGACATCTCTTGTGGCTTAGCGGTGTCAGAGAAGTCCATTACCCTGATGGTATGTGGGGTGTCCCCGATCAGCAATTCCCTCTCCCTGCCAGGAGACTGTCGCCCAGTACGCAGGCTCGCCAGTGTCGAGGCTACAGGACGAGGACGACGTATCGTCTCAGTCCACATTCTCTCTGCAGGTCTGCCCGAGCCCTTTCCGAGAAGCCTCTTACTGGCCGACGGTTTCAGGTGGGTATCATTAGGTCTCGCTGTGATGTCAAAGGTGGTGTTGAGTCTCTTAGGCTGCTGCCTCCACCGGCGGTACCGCCTCAGCACGGAGCTGGCCAACGTGGACGAAGTCTGTCGACGCCAGGCGCTTTCTATCCGACTAACCATCATTGGGTAGAGGTCGGCCAGGGAGCTGGACCGACTGCTCAGAGACTTCTGCAGCTCTTCGTCTTGGTCCTCTGGCAGGAGCTCGCTCTCTGACGGGTTCCTCCATGTCTCATCCAATGACTTGAGAGTTCCCTCTGCTGGATGTTAGTACAGAAACCAAACATTAGCAACGTTAGAACAAGAGAGCGTCGCAGTACTTTAGAAAATACTCACAGTTTTTTAACTTCTGCATGGGTAATTAAATTACAATCACAAACTTCAAAGTGTTTTATAACATAGACCAAGAGAAAGCTGCGCATTATTGTAAAGTAGAAGAAAAATTGTCCAACTCGGGTTGAGACTAATGATTATTTTAGCAATCGATGATTCTTATGAATAATCTGGGGGGAAAAAAAGAAAAAAAGGGCAAATTCTCCAGATATTAACACTTCAACAAAGCACTGTAAACACTGTAAATGTGGTGACTTTTTGTCTCCTTACCGCTATCCTCATCAGCAAGTTCACTGTCGTTCTTCACTTCATCAGCTTCACATGACGAATTTAACTGTTAAGAAAAACATACTTTTTAAATTAAGCCACAGCAGATATTTTCAGCAGATATTTTCAACTATTTACCCATTATGTTTACCTCAGAATGTGCAGTGACACTTGCTGCAAAGGAAAAAAAAAGAAATATTTTAATACAAACCACAGAAAATAAAAAATATATTTACTAGTTTCATATTGGGGCACGTATACTTACAGTTTAAGGAGCAATCTCTTTCATCTGACTGGCACTAAAGAGGGGATGCACATAGAAGTCAGATTTTATATTTAGCTTCAATAAACACACCTCATGCATTTATTTAATGAACGACTAAATAACAAACCTTTAAGGCCGATTTTTCAAGGTGGTCTCTGGACTGTTCTAAAAACTTTGAAAGAGCTGCACGATGGCAAGAAAACAAAACAGAAATGGAGTTAATGAAATTGTATTAGCAATAAATCATTCTTACAGCGATTTGCCAAATTTGAATGTAATCTGTGCGATGCCTTAAGCCAGAGGTGTCACTCATTTTTCCTTATCAAAAATCAGAATGTTCTTAAAGGGCCGGTTGAGCCAGAATGTATCGATAAAACCCATTAAATAGCTGTTTCAGTATTCAGTAAGTGTTTCTTAAAATTAAATATTATTGAACATCTTTTCACACTGATCACTCCATCCAGGATTTTGTGATCATTTTGTGTGTCTTTTGCAATCAAAGTGATAGATTTTGATTTCAGTGATCATAATTTGTGGTTATAATTTTTAAATATTTGTAAGGAATTTTCAGGATATTTGTGCTAATGTACGATATTAAACATGACTCTCTTTTTTTTATTAATTGCCATATCGATCATGGGCTTGACAAGGAAGGCTGAGGCAACAGGCACTTAAACCCAAAGTTTTTGAGACAAATTTGCAGTAAAAAAAAAAATCTGAAAAAAAATATATGGGAATTTGTAGACTGTGTGAATTTTGTTTGAATTTCGCAGATTTCTTGAAAAGCTAGACAGACTTATTGATGTAATTTGGAGTCTGGAGGGCCGGGCCTTGAGTTTGTGACGTAGCATAGGCAATTTTAAAGTTTTAGCTGAGGTGCAATACTGGTAAGTCACCAGCAGGTGGCTTCAAAATTAACGTTTTTAAATGAAAAGGCGGTAAAAGTAAAAGTTCACTTACTTCTTAGTTTAATTTGGTTGATATCCACCTCCAGCACGTCGTCCATGTCCTTGAGTTTTGAATACTGTTTAAAAAAAGGTCAATATTAGCGAACATCCACTCTGCAATGTTTTGACGTTAACTGGCGGTAATATATATATATATATATAAAAAATTTTTTTCACATATATATATAGGTTGTTCCGCTAACATACCTTTTCAGCGATTCGGTCCAGAGACCTCTTAAAGTTGGCGGTGTTTGCATCCAGCATGTTTCGCATAGATTGTGCCATACTGCCTGTGACAAACGCTTCCCTCTGGAAGCTGAAAGAATAAATGAAGATGTAGCAGGGAGAAAAGCGCTCTTAATTTGATTTTCTTCTTCTTTCTTCTCTTTCTGGGTGTTAGATGCTGTATTACTGCCACCTAATGGTATGGATGCGGTATTACTGCCACCTAATGGTATGAAGTGGAACAAAGCACTGTCCTCTTCAGCAAACAAGTCGGCTTTGTAATGCGTTCAATCGTTTCCTTTTGTTTCTTTCCCAAATCAAATACATTTAAAAGAAATGTGACAAGCACTACCTTTGAAGACAATCGTTTATATACTGTTTTGTAACAGTTACGACTCATATGCAGATAAATGACTTTTATAATGTTTCTGTTGAAATTTACATATTTGGTCGCTTTCATCAAAACTTGATTTCAGTTGGTTGGTATTAATTTTAAGCTTGATTAAGACATTTTACGGTCGTTGTTTTGGATAGTTACACATGCTGTTTAATCTTTCGCTCATGCTGATACCCAAACACAAAAGTGTCCGAGCTTTCAAGTAGGGAGTTGAATGCACCCTGACGTTAAGACGTCACTCCATTTATGCGTCATCTTAACGCGCCGGGAGTGCTCCGCCCATGTGAAAACAGAGACAGGTGCCGAACTCTCAGTCAGAGACTGACAGGGGTCAGTGAACGCCACATCGGGATGCCTGCTCGGACCCTCCAGGACCTGGTGTTCGCCGCAGCCTCTCTGCACCCGAACCGAGCGGCGGTCCGGTTCGACCCCGGCTCGGGAGAGACTCCGGGGTCTCTGCTCTACAGGGAGGTGGTCCAGCTCGCCGCGGATCTGTCCGCCGCTTTACTGGAGAGCTGTTCTCCTGGCGGCGGCGCTGTCGGCCTGTACTGCAGCGATGACCTGCTGGTCCCCGCCTGGATCCTGGGGTAACGTTTGGACCGCTTTTGTCTCCTGGTCGTCTGGGTTTCAGATTTTGTCTCCTCATTGCGCTACATCATCCGCCAGGATCCTGCAGAGTTCTGCCGCCTACGTCCCGCTGGACCCGGAGGCCCCTGGACTTCTGACTGCCAGAGCAATGAGCCGGTGCGGCCTCAAGTACTGCGCTGTGGATCGGGACTTGGTGCAGGTCCATTCATTTGTTTAATTTCAGTTTTGCAAACGTTTTCACACCCCTCGATTTTATTTAATTTATTTATTTCACTGATTTTGTCACAATAAGTGATAGCTCTACATGTAATGAGTGAAGATTGGGGATCTGGCCCAGAGCGACATTAGAAAAGTCAGAGCACAGAATCAAAAAATAAACTAAACTTTAGTACCCTAAAAAATACAATATGGAGATGTGACTATGTGGCTTCTGCAGGACTGCATTTCCCCCCACCCCAGAATTCAAAATGATTTTCTGCGTTGTAAAAAAAAAACAACAAAATAAATTAAAAATAACATTTTTAGAAGAAAATCTTTTTCTCTCTCTCTCTCTATAGACGTAAGACGCTTATTGCAAATATTATTTCTACTAAAGTCTTTTTCTATTTGAATATAAACTCTCATCCTCCTCTACTCTCCCGTGTAGCGATTTCGGGAGGCTCTGGTGGATCACGTCCCTGTGGAGGTCTGCGCGGAGCTGCCCCGGTTCAGGTTGACCTTGATGCACGTCGAGCCCCGTCCAGTCGCCGAGGACGGACCTCGGAGAGCGGGCGGCTGCGATCCCGCTGATATAACCGTTCCCCCGGGGGACTCCGGGCGCCCAGACTTGGCGTACGTCCTGCACACGTCCGGAACGACGGGTCCTCCCAAAACCGTGAGGGTCCCCCACCGGTGCATCGTCCCCAACATCCTGCATCTGAGGTCAGTTTGGCGTCTCGCGTCCAACGGTTCATATGTGAAATAAAGAAGCGGCGTGTTCCTCTGCTCAGATCTCTGTTCCAGATGAGCGCAGATGATGTTGTTTTTCTCGCCTCCCCTCTGACCTTTGACCCGTCTGTGGTGGACATATTCCTGGCGTTGTCCTCGGGGGCTCTGCTCCTCCTGGTCCCCTCGGTGGTGAAGAAGATGCCCGGTCGACTCGCCCAGATGCTGTTCTCGCATCACCGAACTACAGTCCTTCAGGCAAAGCATCTGTGTCGCCGTCTGAGAGTTAAGCTGAGAGACTCTTAGTTGATGACGTTTTCTTTCTTTCTTTTTTTCAGGTCACCCCGTCTCTGCTGGTGCGGTTCGGTCACGGTGTTCTGAAACGGGACGTGCTGTCGCCCGGATCCTCGCTGCGGGTGTTGGCTCTGGGCGGAGAGGCCTGTCCTTCTCTGGCTCAGCTGGGGAGCTGGAAACATGAGGAGAACGAAACGGCCATCTACAACATGTACGGCGTCACAGAGGTCTCCTGCTGGGCCTCCTGCTGCAGGATACCAGAGCCTCAGCTGCAGCGCGGCAACATGTGAGCGTCTGGAAAAACGACCGGCATTAAATCTGCGCTCTGAACGTGTTCTTTCAGAAACTGGCCCGTTTTTTTTTTTTTTAAAGCCAGTCATGCAGTTCACAATTAAACGATCGTTAAATTTGCCGACTATTGTTTCAGCGATCGATTAATCGGGATCGCACAATTAATCGTTTCAGCCCTACATTGAACAGCGCGGGCCTTTGCGGCACGGCGTCCTCTGTGCCTCTTGGGACGCCCCTGATGGACACGGTGGTGGAAGTCCGGGACGCAGACGGCTGCGTCATCACGGAGGGCGAAGGGCAAGTGTTCATAGGTGGGACAGGTTTTTATTTATTTATTCTTTTTTAACGTTACGTTCTCAAAAGAGATGATACTGGAGACAGCATGATGCATACAGGTGGAGAGGACAGGGTGTGTCTCCTGGATGGAGAGGACGCCGTCGTCCCCGGAACGATGAGAGCAACAGGAGACTGGGTGGACGTTCGAGACGCTCAGCTGTACTATCTGGGACGGAGAGACAGGTTGATCAAGCGGAACGGGAAGCGAGTGAACTTGGACAGCTTGCAGCAAGTGAGTTCACTTAGAAATGAAAATCATTTCGAGGGGAACAGCTGCTTTGGGAAGGCTTCAAGTGTTTTTGTTTTTAAAATTGAAACCACCTCTGCTTGTTTTCAGAGATACTCTGACTGAGTTTGAGCGACGGCATCGGAAGCAGTTCAGAGTATTTTTTATTTTCAACTTTTATCGTCCCGTCTCTTCCAGCTGATCCTGAGTCTGCCTCAGGTGGAAGCCTGTGCCGTGGGCCTCCATGAAGGATTTAGACTCCTTGCCTTCGTCGTCGCTTCAGCTGGCGGAGTCCGTCACCTGCAGGGGGAGCCAGAGGGCGCGGGTAGGGATCTGCAGAGGCTCATAGTGAGGCAGCTGTCTCCGCTGGTGTCCTCTCACTGTGTTCCCGACGCGCTGGTTCTCGTCCCGGCTATATCCCTGACTCCTCACGGTGAGCTTTAATTATCAGATCCCCGAGGACTTTTTTGAAATAACAATAATAATAAAAAAAAAAGTTTTAATGTTTGCATTTTACCAGGCAAAGCAGACATGAAGGCTCTGATGAGAATATACGAAAAACAGAGGGAGTGGTCAAGGTCGTCACGGCTGGAGGTCGGAAAGCTAAAGCAAACTCTTGAGACTCTATGGAAGGTATTACCCTGTTAAAGCTCCAGTATGTAACTTTTATAAATAATATATATATATATATATAGTTTGCAGAAATGCACCAGTCAGGAACAGCCAATCAGAGCAAGGGGGAGGGTCTTAACACTGCCAATCAGACTACAACTTACCTTTGCAGGAAATTATTTATGTGTTGTCATCAGTGGCTGTGCTGACTGGCGCCAGACTGTGTTGTGGCGAACTAGCTGTAGTTTTGTAGAGAGAAAGGTGGATGGTGTGAGCAGAGTACACAAGCATGATTGACAGCGCTATAGCCCTATAAATGCCTTAATAAATGTGTTGAGAACATATGTCACCTTCTGTCATCAGGATACATTAGGTCTCTCTGCAGACGTATCCATCGACGAGCGCGCCAACTTCCTGTTTAGTGGAGGAGACTCCCTGAAGGCACTGCGTCTCTGTGAGGACATCCTCGCCGCCGTGGGAGTGTCCTCTCCTCGCCTCCTGGAGGTTGTACTGGACGGGTCCTTCTCAGACGTTCTACGCCTCGTGACGCAAATGCTGCGGCCAGAACCGGACGGCTCGTCGTCCTCCAAGAAACGGGCAGCCGAGGCGCCGTCTGCGGTCCCAGCAAAGAAAGGCCCTAGACCCGACCGGACCCAGCGGGAGACACTCGGGTGTAAAGTGGTGAGACGAGGCGGCGAAGTGCAAGGAGCAAACTCTTGGAGCGTAGACGCTGGTGAAGAAGAACCGCTGGACGGAAAGGACGTCGGTATTGGCCTCAGTCCGAGCTGGTCCTCTGACACCGGCAGGTGCGTGGACGCCTCCCCCGTGATTCTGGTCCGCGACGTCGCCGACGAGCGACCCAGAGCGACCGTGTTCGTCGGCTCCCACTCCCACAGGATCCAGGCGTTGGACCTGGCCGGCGGGAGCCTCCTGTGGGAGCGAGTCCTCGGGGGCAGGATGGAAGCGTCGGCCGCCGTGTCTCACTGCGGCTCCCTCGTCGTTGTCGGTCAGTGTCGGTTCTCCCGAGTGTCTCTCTGACGCGTTCGCGCTTCTGGATCACTCCAGCTTGCCGCTCTCCAGGTTCCTACGACGGCTGCGTTTACTTCTTATGCACCGACTCCGGAGAGACAAAGTGGGTGTTTAAGACGGAGGAAGCGGTGAAGAGCTGTCCTGCTGTGGACCCCCTCACCGGTCTAGTGGTGGTGGGCTCGCACGACGGACACGTTTACGCCCTGGACCCTCAGGTTAGTGTCCGCTTGTGTTTGTTTGCCTTCACATGTTCTACAGCAGGAACAAAGCAAAGTAAAATATGACAAAATTCTCTGTTTTTAAATGTCTCTGACCGAAAAATATCCAAAAATTGCTCTTGCTAAAATTTTCTGGCATTTAACATATAGAAATAATTTTGGTAATTCCACTTATAGTGAAACAAGAGGCGTTTGGT